AATAATTATTATCATTTTCTATGTTTTAATAATGCCATTTAAAAAGATATACTTATTTCATTGTGGTAACAAATATATAAGATAAAATTTATCATTTTTAACCATTTTTATGTGTGCAGATGTGACATTAAGTACATTTACATTGTTCTGCTACCATCACCACTATCCCTCTTCAGAATTCTTATATCTTTCTGAACTGAAACTTCTCATACCACTACCCAGTGACTTCCTCATTGCCCCCTCCCTCAAGCCCCTGGAAAACCACCATTTAACTAGACATCTCATGTAAACAGAATAATACAAAATTTGTCCTTTGGTGAGTGGCTTATTTCATTTAGCATAATTTCTTCAGGTTTTATTCATATTGTCGCATGTATCAAAACTTCCTTTCTTCTTAAGGCTGAATACTGTTCCACTGTATGTATTTGCTACATTTTATTTATCTATTTATTCATCAATAGACATTTGAGTTGCTTCTACCTTTTTGGCTCTTGTGAATAATACTGCTAAGAACATGGTATACAAATATTTGCTCAAGTCTCTACGCTCACTTCTTTTGGGTATATATCCAGTAGTGAAATTTCTGGATCACATGATAATACTGTGTCTAATATTTTAAGGAACTGCATGCTGTTTTTCGTGGGAGCTGCTCTATTTTACATTCCTATCAGCAATGTGCAAGGGTTCCAAAGAAGGTACCTTAAGAACTGAAAGTTAATAGCAAAAACACTGCAAAATATTGGGAAGGAGAGCTAGGCTACAGAAAGCTGAGTGGAAGAAAGTTAACCAGTTTCATTCTCACTTTTTAACATCAGAAGAGCTTCTCAAGTGATATGAGTTTCAGATATGTCCTTCTATGGATCCCCTATGTTTAGTGGAAGGTATGGGTGTGGTATGGAAGGTGGGCTCTGAGGGGATCAGGCAGTTTCTGGGGCTTATAGCTTGCAGCCTGGAGCAGCTTCCCTCATTTACCTAAGTGTGCCTTAAAAATACTTTTCATTTTCTATATGGCTAATATGTGAAAAATGCTAGGAAACACTGCTCCAAACTATAGGAGTAAAGTTAGGATTAAAATCAGAAAGAGAGGCAAAAGCATAAAATATTTATTCAACAGTAAAATGTATTGAACACTTGTTGTGTTCTAGGATCTAGGATAGACTGGGGATAGCTGGGAGGTACTGTGGGGTAAATAAGATAAAGAACTATATTTTCAAAAAACTTGGTTTCTTGAAGGTGAAGGACAAGCTAATAAGCAGTTACAATACAGCATGGAAAATAACCTACTATGGGAAGGGGAACCAGAAAGTGTTGTATATAGCCACCAGCCTTCACCCATTCTGATCTTGAGATTGAAAGAGAGAGCTCTCTGAACTCTTCTCATTTTCCCTGTTAAGAGAAGCCAAATGAAATACCTGTTTTTCATTTTGTGGGATGTGGATGCTCAGGGTACTTTAGGCATGTCAGGAAAAACATAAGCTGCCTGGACTGAGTGGAGCTGCTTATTAAAATTTTTAGTAGTGTTTGATGGACAAAGTATCAGGAACTTATAAAAAGCAATTGCATTATAATTGAGAAAAGAATTATGAAGACTCAAGGAAGTCATCCCTGAGGACTTCTTGTGTCTGAACTCCAGGCTGAGTTGGGTTCTGGTTCTCTCTGTTCTCAGCACCCTGGGTTTATTTCTTATTGTAGCTCTTATCACCCAGTACTGTCATTGTCTGGTTACTTATTGGTTAATCTGTTTTGTGCTGTAATAATAGAATATCTGAGACTGTGTAATTTATATAGGACAGAAAATTATTTTCTCACAGGCCTAGAGACTGATTAAGTTCAAGATCAAGGCACCAACGTTTTAAAGGCCTTCTTGCTGCATCCTCACATTGCCGAAAGTGAAAGGGCAAGAAAGCAACTTGGGTGAACACTTTCTGAAGTCTCTTTTATAAGAGCTTTAATGTGTTCGTGATGGAGAAGCCCTCTTCACCTAAACACCTCCCAAAAGGCCAACTTCCCAACACGGTTGCATTAGAGATTAAACTTCCAACACATGAATTTTGAAGGGTTGTTCTGACCACAGTACATACCTAATCTCCCACTTCATTCTACATGTCATGGAGGCAGAGATTCTACTCAGAAATGTTTGTGGGAATAAGTAAGTGGAGCGGTAAGATAACTAAAATAACTGGGACCATTTATATGAAGCAGCCAAGATCCCCGTAATAACTTGGAAAACCTGCTCTGGAAAAGTAGACATTAAGTCTCCATTGCTGGGGCTTCTGACAGCTATGGCATGGTGGCGTAGTACTACCATAGTTCTTCTACTCTAACACTTTCCGAAATACATACCCTTTTAGGTGTTTTCCCTAAATTCTCCCTCTTTCTTTTTTCCCAGATAATCAATAGAGGCTTAAATGTCTATGTGTTGCAACTGTCTGAGTTCATTGTGTTACCGTATTTTTTGTTAAATGGGTATAATTTGAAAACAAGGCCTAGAAATACTGCCATCGTTTATGTGGAGACATTTTAGAAGATTATTATTATCATTAGCATAATTACCTACTTTCTATCCAATTTGCTTCTTCATATTATACATATTTTTGACTTGAGATAGAAGGATGACAGAAGGGTCTCATTTAAGCTTTTCTGTTTTTATAACTAGAAGCAAGATTATTTCTAAAAAGTCAGTAAAGAATATTCCAAAGGAATTGAGGAAAAATGGGATGAGGACTTCAGTAAAACATACTTTGGTGACACATTTTGATATGAAATTTTGTAAAAGCACACACATCCTGATGGGAAGAGGATGAGTAATTTCTTTTTAACTCAGAGCAAGTGTTCTAATCTGGCTAAAATTCTGGGAAGTGCTGGAAATCCCCAAAGCAAACTGCCAGATGCCATTTCTGGATCCTGGATACGTGGGCTTGGTTGCTAAGAAGATGATGCCTCCTCCCCTTCACCACACGCAGCTGACGCCTGAACGATAGGGAGTTGATGTACGCAGAGCAGGGATCTAACAATGTCAACTGTGCTGACATCATCCTAGCTGTGCAGGGCTGATGGGAATTCAGAATATCAAACATCACATCAAGGGCAGTGAGCAGGTGTGACTCATTTCCCTGGAGAACTGGGAGAGAGGAAGGGAGAGGGCAGGATTATCTCACACTGACACACACACAGCCTTTAGACTGAACTATTTGACTGGCTTATTTAAAAGCAGCAAAACATTGTTCTGTCTCTCTCTTCATTTTTCTACCGGAAACACTTTATATTCTAGTCCTTTGTGTCTCAGCATAGAATTGAGCCTTTCAACATCATAGTATTATAAAATACACATTATTTAGGATCATTACTTTTTATGTTACATAAACCAACTATGAGAACAATTCAAACAAAGAAATTTTATGTTCTTTTTTTTCTCTTTAGGTGTCATCTACTGAACTGTTCAGACGCAACTGAATTGAAAAGGAGATGAACAAAAGAGCACGATGTAGGTCTGATGACATTGCTTTGGTATTACCAAATAAATGTAGTGTTTCTGTATTCTAGCAGAGTGTATTACTTGGTATGAGAGAAGGGGTGCATGATAAATGCTCAGTAATTGCTCCTCGGGTGAATAATACAAGAAGCCTGTAAGTTTGTAAGCATGAGTGTTAATACATACATTCTCACATATTTTATGGAGTTGATTATTTATCAGTTGACTTTAAGCGATAATGAATAATAAGATTGGATACAATAACAATTGTGGTGTTAGTGAAGTTACTGGTTTCACAAATCTCTTATCCACTGGAACATCTTATTAAAATGATTAGGCTAAGGCAATTAAATCAGAAAGGAGTGTACATCAAAACAGGAAAAAAAAAAAAAGAAAAAAGAGAAAACTCGTCTGCTTCCAAAGGCTTAGTGTTTAATAGCAATGAAAGAGGATTGGTGAACTGACATGGTTGTATTTTCTCCGAAATTATCCCAATGTGTCTTGCCACTCTGAGAAGTACTAATTTATCTCTGTCTTGTGTCAGCCATAACAAAAGGAACAAAAGGACAAAAATTGTTGTTATTCTGTACTCAATACTAAAAAGTACCACTTTTTACTGCAATTTACTCTGCATGTTTAGTAAAATGGCATATGTATGACAGATTGTGGAGCATATTGGAATCTATGTTTATTGGCTTACTAGTATAGCTTGAACAGCACAGAAACAGAAAGGTGTGTTTCAGATCAATCTATAGATTACTACTTGTACAATACAGATAGTGTTGGAGGCAATAGGAGGGAAGAACAGGAAAAGAGAGGGGTGGCTTCTATAGAATTATATGTGGAATGATATAAAGAACTCCAAGTTCTTGTTATGAGATAACAAGTAAGTTGATTAAGAGAGATGAAAGTGTGCTAGCATGTTCCTAGAAGGCATCTCAAATTTTGAAGGCAGATGTTAAGATACGTAGAAAAAATTTTCATTTCATTTTCTCTGCTTTGAAAGTTACTTGGTAAGGAATTATTCTGTCTCTCTCTCTCCAATCACAATTCCTAATACAGAGATTGAAATTCACACAATGTTTAATGGTAATGTTTGATTGATGATAATGGCAGTGACGATGATGATGTTAATGAAATTGATAATCTGTAAACCTTAGAGTAGTGACTCTCAAACAGGCTCTTAGGATCCTCTAGAATATTGCAGGGGAATGAGTATATGTACCTAAAGAGTTGCCATCATAATAGTCCCTGGATCATGACTGATTTAAAAGTTCCCTTATGTTTTCTTCTTCCACTTCCAAAAGGATCTGCTCAAAAGTTGTTATGGGTCTTTTTTGAGATGACTTATTTAACATGATGTGCTGCTTCAGGACTCTCTAGGAAGGAAGTAGAAAGGATAAAGAGGCATGAACTCATTTTTCTTGAGACGGATGATTACTTCAGTTGAGAGTGTGTGTTTAACACTGTTTTATTAACCCATATAGAGAAAATGTCATCCCTTATCACCAAGGGACAGAACAACACTGCAGCTATCACCCTTTGGGGGTCAACCTTACTACTCAACCTGAGATGCAAAGGAATAATTCAGAAGCTATATGGGGACAATTTTCATAAGTGCTTGGTAAATTCCTCTTTTCATATTTTGTTTGGGAAATGCATCACTGGGAGTCTTGCCTATGTTTCTTTTAATGGAAGTCATAGCTATTTTTCTTCAGATAATCACATCTAGTGAGGAAAACTCCTGGATAGTTCTGCTATCATAGAATAGATATTAAGTTAGATCAGATGTAAAAGAAGAATATGGGGCTCTTAAAAACTTCTTGAGTTTGACATGCAGAATAGAGATAAAAATAGTTAAATGCAGTATTGACTATGTCTTTGTTGACCACAGAGGGTTATAAAGCTATTAATAGTCTCCTTCTAGAGGCTTTATGATAGAATTATATAATCAAGAATTATTACTAGAGCTGAATTTACTTATTTATCTTGGAATACTACAACCTATGAAATTTCGGGAATATATATATAAAGATAAATGAGAGGTGAACTAGATATGATACAGACTAAAACTGCTGTCACTACTAAAGCTTAAAATGCAGTGGTTTAAACAAAACAGAGTTTATTTCTCTCTCATGTAACAGTCCAGAGTGGTAGGGGGTCTCTGCCAGCCTCAACCTGGATTCTTATCTCTGAGTCCAAGAGAGCAGTTTCATTCATCTTCATCTTTTAGACAGCAAATGGGAAGGTGAAAAGAAATCAGGGCATTACATATTTAATTGTTTTAAAAATAAGTCCTGAAAGTGGCACATATTACTTTCTTTCACATTACACTTGTCAGTAACATGAACACATTCAGCTGGAATCAAGTCTTAAGAAGGTCTTTTATTAGATAGCCAGGGGTCAAGCATGGTGGCTTACATCTATAACCCCAGAGCTTTGGGAGGCTGAGGCAAGAGGATCACTTAAGTCCAGGATTTCAAGGGTGCCATGAGCTATGAACATAACATGGCACTCCAGCCTGGGTAAGAGAGTGAGATCCTATTCCTAAAAAAATAAAAATAAAAATTAGGTAGCTGGTACTCACGTTAAACCACTACTATGGAAGAAAGGGAAAGGGAGAGCAGGTATTGGGACAACTAAGTTGGCTACAAGGCCTTGCTGCAAAGCCACTAGGAGATCTGGACTGGGAAGTTGCCAAGAAATAGCAAAAGACTCTACTATATAGTGTCCTGTAAGGCACCTTTGTAGTCCAGAAGAATCGCTCTAACCTAAAGAAGGGCAATAGGTTTATAGTTGTATCAGTATCCAGAGGAGGAGCACCTATATGGGGAAGTGAGAATATGTAATGCCAGGATCAGTTGTTTCTTCTGGTGACATCAAAGAGAATGATTGTGAAGCTCCCTTTGAAGGCTTAGCAGGGACATGCATATCCTCAAGAGAGGCTAAGAAGGCCCGAGCTTTGGCCAGAATATAATGACTGGGTTAGCCAACAGACTTGAAAGCCAAGTAATAAGGAAAAAGGAGACTTCGTTACTGTTATTGTGGGTGGGTAATGGAAAGAAGTGTGCAGTGTAGCAGAGAAAATTCTTGCAAACATTGATCTCCACCCTTAGAATCTGAAGAACTGATAATGCTAGGAGCTGATTTTTGGAGTCTTCCAGAAAGCAGGATAGTAAAAGAAGCCATAATATCTAAGTTTTGGGGAGCAGGATGAAGAACTACGAGACTGGGCTGAAGAAAAGTTGTACTTGGAGACCATAGCAAATTGCCATACGGGAGAAAGGGAATGTTGGTTCTCTAATTATGAACTCAAGAGAAAGTTGGAGTTGACTTTCATAGAAATTCTATTTGGTGGCAGGGATGTTGACTTCCCTCCAGCAACTTTTAGACCGGAGTTATAAAAACATTGGAACTTCAGTGATGGAAATTTGGTGATATAATTTGCATTTAAGATTAACTAGTGGAGTCAGAATGGCTCTTATTAAGAAGTTAAAAATAATAACAGACTTTGGTGAGGTTATGGAGAAAACGGGACTTTTATACCCTGCTGGTGGGAGTGTAAATAAGTTCAGTCACTGTGGAAAGCAGTTTGGAGATTTCTGAAAGAACTAAGAATAGAATTACTGTTCAATCCCGTTATCCCATTACTGGGTATATACCCAATGGAAAAGAAATCATTCTACCAAAAAGACATCTGCACTTGTATGTTTATTTCAGCACTTTTTACAATAGCAGAGACGTTAAATCAACCTAGGTGCCCATCAAGAGTGGAATGGGAAAAGAAAATGGGATATATCTATACCAAGGAATATTATGCAGCCATGAAAAATAATGAAATTGGGTTCTTTGCAGCAACATGGGTACAATTGGAGGTTGTTATCCTAAGTGAATTAATGCCGAAACAGAAAGCCAAATACTGCATACTCTAACGTATAAGTGGGAGCTAAATAGTGGGTACACATGGACATGAAGATGGGAAACATAGACAGTAGGGACTACAAAAGGGGAGAAGGCAATGGTTTGGGTACTATGTTCACTATTTAAGTGGTGGGATCAATAGAAGCCCAAACTTCAGCATCACAAAATGTACCCATGTAAAAAGCCTGCACAGTGTATCCACTGCATATAAAATGAAAAAAAAAAAAAAAAAAAAAAAAAAACAGGTGGAGAAGGTGGTGTCAGAAAGAGATTGGCAATTATATGACTTTCTAGAAAAGGCTAAGTTGATTGTGGACATATTGTTAGCTAATGTGACCATTTTCTTAGGTGTCCTACTGTTGTCAAGAAGGCTATCATATGTTCGGGTGTGGTGGCTCATGCCTATAATTCCAGCACCTTGGGAGGCCGAGGTGTGTGGATCACCTGAGGTTAGGAGTTTGTGACCAGCCTGGCTAACATGATGAAACCCCATCTCTACTAAAAATACAAAAATTAGCAGGGGGTGGTGGCAGGTCCCTGTAATCCCGGCTACTTGGGGGCTGAGGCAGGAGAATCACTTTAACCCAGGAAGTGGAGGTTGCAGAGAGCCAAAATCAGGCCACTGTACTTCAGCCTGGGCAACAAGAGCAAAATTATGTCCCAAATAATAATAATAATAAATAATAATAATTAAAAAGAAGGCTATCATATATTCTATATAACTTTAAAATGTACAGATTTGCCACCATGGTTTTAGTTAAAAATATACTGTCATGCAAAAATTACAGACTTCACTAATCCCCAGAAGGTAAAGTTCCATGGCTACAGACATGAGGGATGATCTTCAGAGCTGGTGATGGTAGTTGTTAGGACCAGGTATGGGTAAAGCACACAGAACCCACAACTAATCCAGAAGATCCTCTTGGCCCAAGTTGTCCGTGAGTCCCACTCATCCTCAAAAGATAAAGAAAGGTTGGAGGATACCTTAGGGAGTTTGAATTACTTTGAGGATCTGAAAATCCTTGTCCTAACTAGATCTTACAAGGTTGTATTGGAATCAACTTAGGTTGGAAGAGGTCATTGGATCTCCAGAACTTGTGAGGAGTGAATTCTGACATTGACATTAAAGTTGACCCCTTGAGCCTGGCCCTTTCCGAAATTGAATGCTGATATGGTTTTTAAAGTTTCATGGTTTTAAGCCTCATGGTCTTAGCCAAAAAACATCACCCCTGGAAGTCTGCCTACTCTGCAAAAGGTACAGAGACAGAGTAGTTCTCCATCCAGGTAGAAACTACTTAATGCATACCCACTAGTTTCACTGCAAAGACAGTAGTAGACTCAAACCACAACTCGTAGAGGATTTATATTGCGCAAATGTTGACAGTGTAGTTTGTACTTTTGTAACAGCAGAGTCATATCAACATGATGAACAAGTGGCTATGCCTTTATGCTACTAAGATCAGCATTATGATAGTATTTGGACAAGATACCCAGATTTTCTACATCCAGATCTTTACTGGCTATTCTAACCTGGAAAGTCCCCCAGAATTTTTCCATAGAAGAGACAAATCAAGGATAATTAACATACTGTTATTGCTAGAGCCTTGAACACAAACTCCAAAGACCGATTTGCCTGGACATATATTGTCTTAGAAATTTAAGAGAAGACCTTCACTTAAGCAAAATATATTGAATGACCTAAAACCAAAGAGGCTAAAAAGCTCACTGACTTCATTTTCATCTTCCAGCTGAAACCTGGGTTTGGATATTACAATTTTGGACTCATACACCATTGAGCATTAGAGGAAATGCAGTGTCATAAGACCTTTGCCTTGATGCCAAAGTAAAATGGATGAGGGTGTGAATATTTGAGTTGTATCTGATATCTTCAAAATCCTGGAACAATACCTGTCCAAGAGAAAACTGAAGGCCTTTTCTAATTCCTTCCAAAATATTCAACTCTTGAAAATGAAGCTGTGTGTGTCCTCTTATTTACCAATTTTTTCAGCCCATTTCCTATTTAAGGCTGCAGAGGAAAGCATACAATGAAGAACATAGGTAGAGGGGAACTGACCATGTTTCCATCAACCTCGAAGCTTCTTAAATAGGTCATTAGTTACCTTATGCTTTCCAGCGATCTTCTGTTTTTCTTGGCATAATGAAAATGTGAGAAATACACCCTATTTGTTGGATATCCTCTATTAGTAACTCTGCTATTGAAGTGTTTATGCTTCTGGGTTCATTATGACATAGATTCTGTGGATGAATATTGAGAAGGCTTGAATGAAAAATATTTAAGACCCAACAACAGATACAATATGTGGCTCAGATCTTCATAGCAATTTCTGTGGCATAATGTGAAACAGGGTCCAGAGCTTTCACCATTAGGGTTAGTGCCCTGACTAGATCAAGCTTTTCCCTTTTCTTTGAGGAAATGCTGCCAGTGGTGAGTTCTACACACATGCTTTAAATAGCTTTTTTTTTTTTTTTTTACAGGATCCCTTGCTAATGTTAAGCTTTTTAGATATTATTGTCCTGATATATATTTCAATCTTGTCTTTCTTATTTTGCAACGTTAATTTTGTTTTAAATCCCGTATCTCCTGAAGTGCACCTCTTTCTTGCCTGGGAATATGGTTTTCCATTTTGATTGAGGGATCAAATAATAAAGGCTCATCTCTTTACAAAGGACAATGTATTATTTATGTGAGTCAGAGAAATGTGTAGCTTTTTGCATTGTGTGGAAAGTGGAAGAACTGAATATCAAACCCATCTGATTGATAGTTATATCAAAGGTTGTCGTCAGTTAAGTTCATTTGGATTGATATGATAAGAGCCTTATGTTTTACATGAAATATTGCTTTAGTAACTATTTGATATTTTTATTTTATTGCTTAACCTTCTGTATTCTTCAAATGCTGTTCACCAAAGGATTACAAAAAAATATTGTTGTAAAATGTTAATTGTTTAGTATGTTTTGAAAAAATAATATTAAATAAAACTATGTTTTTGAACATTATGTGAATCCTACAACTAAACATTGACATTTAAGGTCCTAGGTTATTGCACTGATCTGTTTTCAGCAGCTCTGAAAAATCCCTTAAGGCAATATTATTTAACATAATTGGTTTCTTAGCATACTGGGAGATAAGGAACAATGCAGCCTAGTGTTCCAATTTGGAACAGAAATGTTCATACAGATCAATGACAGGCTATGATTTCCTCTATGCAAGGACTGGCAAAGTTTTCCAGGTTGAAATATTTTTCCTCATTGTTTCCTTTTTTTTTTTTTTTTTTTTTTTTGTGACAGCGTCTTGCTCTGTCACCAGGCTGGAGTACAATGGGGTGATCTCGGCTCACTGCAACCTCCGCCTCCCTAGTTCAACTTATTCTCTTGCCTCAGCCTCCTAAGTAGCTAGGATTACAGGCCGGTGTCACACCACCAGCTAATTTTTGTATTTTTAGTAGAGACGGGGTTTCACCATGCTGGCCAGGATGGTCTCAATCTCGACCTTGTGATCTGCCCACCTCAGCCTCCAAAGTGCTGGAATTACAGGCATGAGCTGCCGCGTCTGGCCCTCATTGTTTCCTTTTCTTTTGAATACCAATCCATCATAGATTATTAGAGGGCACTTTATTTATTTATTTATTTATTTATTTATTTATTTATTTGAGATGGAGTCTCGCTCTGTTGCCCAAGCTGGACTGCGGTGGCATGATCTTGGCTCACTGCAACCTCTGCCTGCCGGGTTCAAGCTATTCCTCTGTCTCAGCTTTCGGAGTAGCTGAGACTACAGGTGCGAACCACCATATCCTGCTAATTTTTTGTATTTTTAGTAAAAACAGGGTTAGATGGCACTTTAAAAAAGAAAATAAAATTCTTCTCTACAAATACAGTGACGATAAAGGTTGATAATTCCTTTTATGTTTTTAATTGTCATCAGGTTGCTTTTAACTTTTTTCTCATTTGGTTAGAAGTATTTTATAAATGAAAAAGGTCAGTTTGAGCAATATCCTGAGCTAGTGACATTAATTCATTGTGTACATGAGCCACAGAGACTCAACTAGTTTTACCACCTTCTACTGAATAATAGTTAGATACTAAATGTTTTTCTCTTAACAACATTTATATCATTTTAAAACTCATGAGTCCCCAAACCACATTGAAATAATAATAAATTGCCTTTAAACATTAAAATTATTTGTAACATACTCCTTTTTGGAAACAAAATGGGCCAGAAGAGGTTATCTTTTAAATGATTCTGTAATGAGTGGTGTTTGTTTGCCTTTGAATCTAAATCAAGTCCCCACTTGACGATCTGTCCCTGGTTAAGACACATTGACAGCTAGGCTGCTGAAAAGGCATGAAACCATAAGCAGGAAAACACAAAAATGATCTTCACTAGAAGGCACTCACAGAAACATTCCTGGATAAGCTCTGACAGATGGCTTCCACTAAAGTTAATGGAAGAATTCAAAGATGCTTTTGAAAACAAACATAATAAAACTCAGAGAGATGTTGGAAGACTACAAACAATGCTCTATAAAAAGAAGATATTTTAAAAATTGTTGCCAAAATAGAAAATAGTTACCTATTAAAAGTGAGTTTGTGAATTGGGAGAGCCAATGGTAGGACATCTATCTCAACAAGGTAAAAACGGAGAGAGAAATCGTGAGTGGAAAGCTCAGAAACATGGGGTAAACAACCAGAAAATCAACACCTAACCAATGGGAAGGAGCAGGAGAACAAACTTAGGGAGGAGAATTGAAAATTTTAAAATTAATGGATTTTTAAAATAAAGCCTATAAATTAAAAAGGCATTGCAGCCCAGGTAGGATTAATGAATATATACATATAGTACTTCTGTTTGCAAATATTTGTGTGGGCATAGGGAAAAATATGGAAAGAGACCTAAACTGGTTAGCTTAGGAGAGTAGGGATGGAGGGAAGGGGAGGGAAGTGTACCCTCCTGGGGAACAGGGTCTTAGAGATTTTCGTATCTTCCTCAAGATTTTGAACAGCTTCTGAAAACAGTCCGAATGAAAATATCCCTTAAATTATACTTTTCTTTTTATTTGCCATGTTCCTTCTAGACCTCAACAAAAAAAGTAAAATGGATTTTATCGTACTTAGAAAATCAACAATTGCAGTCTGGATTCAAACATCACTGTTTGATGCACCCAACTTGAGTCAAAAGATGCTTCAACTCCCACTATGCTGGAGGTAAATACACTCAAGATTTTAAGAATGTCTCTTGATGGTGTATAGAATAAGATAGCTTCTCAGCTTTCAGCTTTACTTCATGGTTTTAACTGTCAAAAGAAGCAAGGTAAATAGGTCTTATAACCAAGTGAGTGTTGCTAGAGCCAATCTATGAATTAGTTATACTCACTGATTTTAAATAAACCTAATTTTTAGTATTTTAAATGATTTCTTGAAATGTTGGCTATAATGTCAATTCTTAAAGGAAGGCCGATGTTTCAATGTTGCATAGTGATTCAGAATATAAGGTGTAAATCCAGGCTGTGTGCATGCAAAATTAGTCTGCCAACTACCAGCTCTGAAACCTTGAGCAAGTTACTTAATTGCTGTAGGACTCAGTAACCTTCTGTAAGATGGGAATAAAGGAGTATCTGTATTCTAGGCTTGTTGGAAAGGTCTAAGAACAGTTTCTAGTACATAGGAATGCTAAGAAAATGATAGTTATTAATACTTACTGTATGCTTGATCATTAAGATTACAGACATACCACAAGATGATGACTCACACATCAGAAACATAACAGAGACCTGGAGCCTGAAAGCACTCGTTCAAAGTCTTCTAGCAACAGAAATACCTTACATGCACAGCTCAGGTATTCATTTTTTTGAAGTCTTTTATTTCTTTATAACTTCTCATTTTTGTTTTTATTTTTATTTTTCTCAAACCCAGTGTAAGTTTTTTGGACTTTTTAATGCCTGTGGTTATAGCTATTATAATGGGCTTCTGTATTAGTTGCATATTGCTGTGTGGCAAATTACCCTAAAATTTAGATTCTTAAAATAATAAAAGACTTACATTATCTCTGGCAACTTCTAGCTGAGTGATTCTGGCTCAGAGTTTCTCAAAAAAGTGTAGTAAAGATGTCATTTGTTATTGCAGCCATCCGAAAATTTGCCTGAGACCAAAGAATCCATTTCTGCGATGGCTCCCTCAAGTAACCAAGTGTGTGCTGGTGGTTGGTGGGAGGTATCAGTTTCCCACCATGTGAACCACTTCATATGATTGGAATGCCACAATATCTTTAATGACTTCACCTTGGAAGTCACATTCTATCACTTTTGCAATATTTTATTGATTATTCAGCGTGGAAGGAGACTACACTAAAACATGAATACCAGGAGGCTAGAATCCTTGGGGCCATCTTAGATGCTGACTAACCTAGCATTTTTACCTATTCATATATTTCATTTACTCAGTGCGTCTGTCAGTATCATTTATAGCCAATGCACTAGGCCAGGTGCTGCAGTGGGGCATAAAGATGTGAAAGTCGTAAGTCCTGCTCTTTAAAATTTAATACTTGGTGAAACGGGTGAAACATCCACTCCCATAACTGCAGTACAAAGTAATATAGCACAAATAGCAAGGTTGTAGTGATGTCGGTAAGCACCTCAGGTGTTCAGAGGAAGAGGAGCAATTTCTTGTTGGGGTTTCAGAACAAAGGGAATGTGATCTGGGTTTCAGAATAAAATGGGATCACTGTGGACAAAGACAAGAGAAAATACATCTCATGCTGAGTGAACAATGTGAATAGGATCATGAAGGATCATGAAGTTGAGAAAGCAAGCTGAGTTCAGGGGGCAGCAACCAGAATTCTTTAGAGTAGCTTATGTAGAAACTAGAAAGATACAGACAGGGAAAAGTAGGCAGAGACCAGTTTATGCAAGTCCTTGGAAGCTGTATTAAAATTTTTGAGTCTACTCAGCAAATACTGGGAGCAGATAAAATTTTTTGAGATGGTAAGTAATGGGACAAAATGTTTACTCTTTTAGTTTATTCTCCAAGGGGAATCAGAGAATGAGAAATCAGAGGCATAGAAACAGGGTAGGAAGAACTTACAATAAGGAGAGAAGGTAATAACCATAAATATTATAAGTAGAATTAGAAAGGAATAATCTTGAAGGAGGAATTTGAAGAAGTTTGCAATTCATTGGCTACCACATTTGAAGAAGCTGTCCCAATAACTTGAGATTTGCTACTTGTTTTGGAGGAGAAGTTGGTTTAAAGAGGAAAATGGTTTAAAGAATTTGTTTTAGGACATACCAGTTAAAAAGAACTTGAGGATTCCTCGTATGCTCTCTTTTTCTTTTCCTGCACTGAAGCTTAATCTCTCTGGGTAGTTGCTTCCTGAGATGAATCCTGGGAACTTGGGGAGTTGGGGAATCCTAGCACTGAGGTAAGGAAAGAGGGCAGTGTGGGAAAGAACAGGGCTAGAACCTCAGAAAATTGAGTTAGTTGGCTCCAGAGTCTGTTGAGCTCTGGTCATAATGATGGTGGACAAGGGATAGGATTGTGAGAAAATGATGAACTGAAAAATAATATAGTGGCTGAGGTCACAGAATTTGAAATCATACAGGCATGATTAAAAATCCAGGGCTGTATTTCTAGCTGACCTTGGCAAAATGCTTAATTTGCAGGAAGCTCATTTGCCTAACCTGTAATAAATAGGATTCATAATAGGGTGTTGTGAGGTTTCAATGAAAGGTTTGGCATATCAAGCTTTCAGCTTGGTGACTAGCACATAGAAAACATTCTGTAATGAAAAGTAGATTTATTGAAATGGTGGGCTTTATGATATTACAAAAGGAGATTGATATTGTCCCAGGATCTTTTAGACCAGGTGAGTAGAATTACTGATCTCTTTTGGAATCTGATTAATGCCTTACTGCATACAGCTGGAGGGAGGTGAGTATTCCATCTTGAGTTATTTTTGCATATGACATAAGGAAAGGGTCCAGTTTCAGTTTTTTTGCACATGGCTAGCCAATTTTCCCAATACCATTTATTAAACAGGGAATCCCTTCCCCATTGCTTGTTTTTGTGAGATTTGTCAAAGATTGTAGATGTGTGGCATTACTTCCAAGGTCTCTGTTCTGTTCCATTGGTCTATATCTCTGTCTTGGTACAAGTACCATGCTGTTTTGATTACTGTAGCCTTGTAGTACAGTTTGAAGTCAGGTAGTATGGTGCCTCCAACTTTGTGCTTTTTGCTTAGACTTATCTTGGCTATGAGGGCTTTTTTTTTTTTTTTTTTTTTTTTTGGTTCCATGTGAAGTTTAAGGTGGTTTTTAGAGAAAAATGAATGAAAAGGAATGAACAAAGTTTTTTAAGTCCCAAGAAATATGGGACTTTATTAAAAGAGTGAACCTATGACTGACTGGAGTAACTGAAGGAGACAGGGAGAATAGAAACAAGCTGGAAAGCACACTTGAGGATATTATCTAGGAGAACTGCCCCAAACTAGCAAGACAGGCCAACATGCAAATTAAGGAAATACAGAGAACACCACTAAGATACTCCATGAGATGATCAACCCTGAAACCCCAAGACAGATAATCATCAGATTTTCCAAGGTATAAATGAAGGAAAAAAAGTTAAGGGCAGCCAGAGAGAAAGGCGAGGTCACCTACAAAGGAAAACCAGTCAAACTAATAGAGAACCTCTCAGCAAAAACTCTACAAGCCAGAAGAGATTGGGGGCCAATATCAACGTTCTTAAAAGAATTTTCAACCCAGAATTTCATATCCAGCCAAACTAAGCTTCATAAGCAAAGGAAAAATAAAATTATTTCCAAACAAGCAAATGCAGAGGGAATTTGTTACCACCAGGCCTGCCTTGCAAGAGCTCCTGAAAGAAGTGCTAAATATAGAAACAAACAAGCAAAAAAAACGGTACTAGCCACTGCAAAAACACACCAAAATATAGAGACCAATGACACTATGAAGAAACTGCATCCACTGTGTGCAAAATAACCAGATAGCACTATGATCTCAGGTTCAAATTCACACATAATAATACTAACCTTAAATGTAAATGGACTAAATGTCCCAGTTAAAAGACGTAGGCTGGCAAATTGGACAGAGTCAAGATCCATTGGTGGACTATATTCAGTAGATCCGTATCACCTGCAAAGACACACATAGGCTCAGAATAAAGGAATGGAAGAATAGTTACCAAGCAAATGGAAAGCAAAAAATAAATAAATAAATAAAATTTAAAAATCAGAGGTTGCCATTCTAGTCTCTGAGAAAACAGATTTTAAACCAACAAAGATCAAAAAAAGACAAATAAGGGCGTTACATAATGATAAAGGGAACAATTCAACAAGAAGAGCTAACTATTCTAAATATATATGCACCCAATACAGGAGCACCCAGATTCATAAAAGAAATTCCTAGAGACCTACAAAGAGACTTAGACTCTCACACAATCATAGTGGGAGACTTTAATACCCCAGTGTCAATATTAGACACATCAATGAGACAGAAAATTAACAAGAATTATTCAGGACTTGAACTTAGCTCTGCATAAAATGGACCTAAAAGAAATACACAGAACTCTCCACCCCAAATCAACAGAATATACATTCTTCTCAGTGCCACATGGCATTTATTCTAAAATTGACCATATAATTGGAAGTAAAACACTTCTCAGCACATGCAGAGGCACTGAAATCATAACAAACAGTCTCACAGACCACAGTGCAATCAAATTAGATCTCAGGATTAAGAAACTCTCAAAACCACGTAATTCATGGAAAATGAACAACCTGAATGACTCCTGGGTAAATAGTGAAATTAAGGCAGATATCAATAAATTCTTTGAAACCAATCAGAACAAAGAATGTACCAGAATCTCTGGGACACAGCTAAAGCAGTGTTAAAAGTGAAATTTATAGCACTAAATGCCCACACCAGAAAGCTGGAAATATCTCAAATCGACATCCTAACATCACAATTAAAAGAGCTAGAGAAGCAAGAGCAAACTAATCCACAAGCTAGCAGAAGATGAGAAATAACTAAAATCAGAGCAGAATTGAAGGAAAGACATGAAAACTCTTCTGAAAAAAAAAAATGAATCCATGAGCAGTCTTTTTTCAAAAACTTAACAATACATAAACCACTACCTACACTAATAAAGAAGAAAAGAAAGAAGAATCAAATATACACAATAAAAAATGATAAAGGGGATATTACCACTGACCCCAATGAAATATAAACTAGCTTCAGAGAATACTATAAATACCTCTCTATGCAAATAAAACAGAAAATCAATAAGAAATGGATAGATTCCTAGACAAATACATCCTCCCAAGACTAAACCAGGAAGAAGTTGAATCCCTGAATAGACCAATAATAAGGCCTGAAATTAAGGTAGTACGTAATAGGCTACCAACCAAAAAAGGCCAGGACCAGATGGATGCACAGTCGAATTGTACCAGAGGTACAAAGAGGAGCTGGTACAATTCCTTCTGAAACTATTCCAAACAAATGAAAAGGAGGGTCTCTGCCCTAGCTCATTTTATGAAGCCAGCATCATCCTGATACCAAAACCTGGCAGAGACATAACAAAAAAAAAAAAAAAAAAAGAGAGAGAGAAATCTTCAGGACAATATCCCTGATGAACATTAATGTGAAAATCCTCAATAAAATACTGGCAAACTGAATCCAGCAGCACATCAAAAAACTTACCCACCACGAGCAAGTCAGCTTCATCCCTGGGATGCAAGGCTGGTTCAACGTGTGAAAATCAAGAAATGTAATCCATCACATAAACAAAACCAAAGACAAAAACCA